TAAAATGAAACACTATTTATATAATGTAGTGTACATTTATTTGCTGTTTAACTATTTTTGATTTTCAATTGTTTTCGCTTTTCAACTGTTTCAACTCGACTTCTTTCATGTTATTCGCCTTCAACGGGAGATAGCTAACCGCAGCGCGGTAAGCGACTACTGTCTCTCACTCTGCACCAGAACGAGCGTCACTATTTCAACTATGCATCACTTTAACAATGGAGAAGAACGAAAATACGATTTGTTAAGTTTGAAGGACCGTTTTTTTTTTTTATTAAGATTCCGTTATTTTTTGTATTACTAAGAAGAAAATGTAAATTAATAAACTTAGTTCTTGAAAAAAAGCAACTTTTTTACACGGATGAATGAAAAACATACATATATTGTCACACCAAAAAATTTTAATCAGAAATTTCCAATCGATTATAATTAAATTATTTAGAGAAAGTCTATTTATTTTTCTCCCTGTCAAATCTAATTTGAATTTATTGTTATCATCAGCAATATACGATTGGTTTCGATTTAAAATTAGATAATATAGTGGATTATTATGAATTTCTTTTATATCTGGGAATCACTAAAATTAAAAATGAATGATAATCGTTGATTTTGTTCCTTTTTATTTAAAAATAAACTTTGGTGCGTTTTCTAACATAATCAACATAACAAATATTTTTAATGTAGGTGCTTAGAAAATAAAAATTCATTTTTAGCTCTATACATATATATTTCAAATTTTCAAAAAATACACAGTGATATAATTATTATAAATGCATGTAATTTCAAGAATTCTTACACACACACACACATATGGTTACAATTTTTTATCTCAATAAGTATTTTTTTCGATTGAGTAGAAGTGTCAGTGATTAATTCATATTTTTTTTATTTAGAAAAGGATATAACTGATAATTTTATTTAAAATAATATTTTTTTCGGTTAAATTTTATGGAAATGAGTGATTTGAAAATTTTATGTATAATAACTTTTTTTTTTGTTTTATGTGTGAACTAATGAAAGAGTTTTTGAAAAAAAAAGTTTTATAGTACATTTTAAATTCACTTGGGGGACAAGATACTTCTGTAGTTAATTTAGTAGCTGCTAGGCGGCGTCTTTAGTTCGCTTTAAAAAAGTCGTAAAGAGTCAATAAAAGCGAAGCCTTAGGATAGGCAAAGATGATTCGCTTCAGCCTCTGTGGTGTAATCACAGCATGTGCAAAGTGCGCAGATCCCTGGCTAGGTATTAGTCTTGGTGTTACCAAACGAATATCCGGCATTTTTTTACTAATTTTTGACTCGCGAGCAAGCTATACCTATAGAAGTAGAGCGCTGTTCAACAGACGTCAGACTGGGTGTAATCATTTCCGGTCTTCTTGCTAGTCCCTGTGTAATATGGAGACCAATGGTAATACTGAGTAGGAAGGGGTACTTTTTTAACTACGAGAGAGTGGGTATATTTCTTGTTCAGGTAACTAATACCTGAACCACGGTAAGGAGCTGGCGAGTATGTATAACACACAGATCAGGCCTGGTTGCGGAAAACAAAATCCCTTAGGGTACTAGAGAATTGTCGCGTACATATGTAGTTCTGTAAATTTGCTATTGTGTCAATCGGGTGGCCATTTTCTGAATATAGAGTCATTTATTCTCTTTCCAGCCATCGTTAATGTATAACGCATTATAATTCTATCGACGGTCATTAAAAATCATTGTAAATACTAAAATTAATTCTAGCTCTAGTGTTAATCATATTTAACAACATTGTCAATTCAAATTCATCACTTGTCAAAGTAAAATCCGTCTTATGTCTGTTCTAATATAACTCTTGTAAATAATATTGAAATTTGGCATACCGATTGAACATTATCACTGGTTTGGCCTCCGCAGAGGAGAGAAATTTTCAAATAATATTTCTTTTAAATAGTATCATATTGAATCCATAGCTCAAGTGATGCGTTGCATACAATACTATTATATTATTCGTTGTATATTGTATCCTTTTAATTTATGATTTACTTACAATAAACTTAGTTCGCTTATATCCTGAGTTGATCTCATTTTGTCACAAGCAAAAGAAACCTTCCTACTCTATCTACTGGTAAACACTAGCTTAAATTTTTTTTTTTTCCGCTGAACCAACATCGTTGGGATCTTTGGATTCCATTTGACAGTATGTTACAAGTAAGTAATGTGTTATTCTAATAATTCGTTTCATTTTATTATAACTGTTACTGTACTTTTTAAGCAAACATTATTATTAAAACATACTTAAAACACCTTCAATAATTAATCAAGTCGTAATTATTAGTAGTAGACTTATACGTGACAGTCTAAGTTTGTCATGTACGCATGTATCAACCGTTTTTCTAAAACAGGCAGACGTAAGATTTTTGTCAGGACATGTAATACCCGAAAAAATAGCAATTTTACTCAGAAAAGGAACAGATAGACGTATGTCTGACGAAAATTCTATGATCTAGGCACATTGAATATTTTTGATCTATTACGATATATAGTTTAGAAAGACGAAATTCTCTCCCACACTGTCCTAATGCTCTTTTATAACATATGGATAGACATAAGTTGGTCCACCTGAACTTAAATAAAAAGTTTCACCACGACAATAATATAATAAACAACGATATGCTCCATTAAATTGAATTATATTGAGACATAATGATTTGACGGGCGAATCCCATATACCGACGAGAATGACTCCTTGTACTTTAATACAGCTCTTATCATATAAGGTGACGTTCATTCTATGTTTTGGCTCTTCTTATCGGTCATGTAGTTTAAGAATAAATGAATTGATATAGGGCTTTTCATTACTAAACTATGCTTCAATTAATAATAGATGATGTTAATGGATTCTCTTATAAAACGGTACACATCTCTTAAATACTGGTACACTATCTGTATACCACGTCAAAAAAATATTATTTCGATTCAATAACAATTCCTTATCCATCATCGACACATACAATTTTCTATCATACCAATCATGCATGTTATTTTGGTAACCATCTTCGATGTAAAAAATGGATGATTGTCATTTCCTACGAATGCTTAATCATCGCCCAGAAAAGGGATAATTTTAGAATTTTTCAATAAAAAATGTCACTTTCCAGCGGAAAGAATGATGAGATTTAACTAGTTGATTATTTTTCACGTCGATATCACTTTTTGTCCTCGAGAGAATCGAGGCCATAATAATTCCGAACGCATGTACGAACGACCTAATACCACAACTCTTAATACTTCCTAATTGGTAGCTAATTATAATGAATATAATAATAATAATAATAAATAATTGATTTTTTAAACTAAAAAAATATTTTTATCTCCTCTACTAGGAAGTTAGTAGGATAGGCCTTCAGAGACGTACTCAGACCACTGGAGAGCACTGATATTTAGTTTAATTAATCGGTAATTTAATATTTCATTTATTTGAACATATTAAAAGTCTATTAACTAGGAATGAACTATTACATGCAAAAGATTCTCTTTTCTTTAACCATCAATTCACTTCATAACTTAAAGTACTCTCTAGAGTTCTATTTAGAATAAAGCATTCAGTTTTAAAAAAATTGAATGTTGGATATTAAATTATGTTTTTTAGGATATAATTTAACAAGAGTGAAAATATCTGTTGCGATAAATTTTTTAAATTGCTCTTTTATTTTAGTGAATATCAAAATCATGCATGTTCTTGTCAGCTAAAATTTATAGCCCTGAGATCATTCCATAAGAAAGGATTAAAGCAATAGATAAACATTATTCGTTAAATTTGAATCTACATTCAATATATATCAATGAAAATGTTTCTTACATCTTACCTTTCATTGGATTATCTGACTTTTATCAGGTTGTGATTTTTATATTGAGCATATTTGCAACTTCAAATCCTGAAATCAAAGATCACATCACACCAATATATTGCTATATGTTCACGGTGCTCCTGTAGATGGTGATTTTTTATTATTTTCATGTTATTTCTGACAAATAAGTATTCAATGAATTGATAAATAATTATAGACATTGTCAAATTTTCTAAAGAAAAACCAATCTCAATTTATTCTTTGTTTACTTAACAATATAGCTTCAAGTTCAGGAAATAAAAACACGTGTATTTTTAATACACATCTGTAAGGACTCCAAATTATTCCTATTTTATTTTATTACCTTTCTAATATATTACTTCAAGTACTTAGGTTAGTCAATGGACCCTTTGATTTTATTCAATAATATGTCCCATACAGCAGACATCTATAAATATGAACAAAAAAGAGAGAATTGTTTGTTTTTATTATAAAGTAATGTTTAAGGAGACTTTTAGTTAGTTTTAAGAAAATCTCTGAACGATACAGATGCACTTCTCAACACAATTCGTTATCTTTAAATAAAGTATCCACGCTTTTGATATAACGAAACAAATTCAGTCCATATTTAATTAATGTTCCTTCACCATAATCCTGAATTTCCAGTAGACACAATTGACATTTTTATTCAAAACAAAATATCTGCGAACTCCGTTCAATTGATTTTATTTTTTAGCCGAAATTTCATTAAAAATTTTATGAATATTTTTTTCATTTTTAATCAATGTACTGAATTAAATCTAAAACATACTAGAGCATCAATTTTTTATAAATGTTAAATTTTTGGTGAGTCTTTTTGAATAATTTTTTTGTAAAATAAGTATTAGTGGTGTAAGGTATTTTATCTATTATACGATAATAAAAAATAAACTAAATACATTTTCATTTCTGACTGATTGTTGATTTTCATTCAAAACTACTTTTTCAATTAATTATAACATCACTTGAAGTTGATTAGAAAAAAATTTTGAGGAATATTTGTTCAAAATTATTATAATGTTGAGGCCGGAAAATTAAAAGGTTTTAAATAATCATTAACGAGAAAAATTAATAAATCTTATCACAAATATATTTTTAAATAGACAAACATGCATTGAAAAAAGACGCATGAAAGGAATAGGGTTTTTTACGTAACGCTAACATTCGTTTTATTGTTTAATTTTTTAATTTTACACATAAAATTTGATCTTATCACAGCAAATATCAATTAACACTCTCCACCATTTATTCCAACAAAATTATTAAACACATTTAACAGAAAAAATTCATTTACTTTAATAATACCAAGAAATTTACATACAATTACATCATAGCATCAAAGTAAGTTAAAGTAAGTTTGACTCTGGCCTTAAATTCATTCAAATATTTGAGTACAGATTCATCAATTGTAACATCACGCATCATAAGATTGCAATCAAGAAAATCACTGTCACAATGTCTGTGATGATGTTTTAATATTTCCTGCGGATCTAGATGATATGCCCGTCTAGCAGATGGATTCAAAGTTGTCAAAGCATAGTGATTGTGAATAGTAAGTGCACGCTCTGTGGACACAAAACTCTTAACTGAGTCGCCTTCCGGTGAAACAACTGATGTCCTCAGAGTGTGAAAATAATTGAGAAACTCAGAGTCATTACCAATGGTTTCTGCTTTTCTATTGTTTATTACTTGTTTTTGTAATTCCGGAAAGAAATAAACATTTCTTACAGCATAAGAAGCATAGTCATTAAAGGATTTACCAGCTTTTTTTCGTTCACTCTGAAGTACTTCAGACCACGTTCTTTTATTTATCGGGATTATCATTTCATCAATATCAATTGGGACAATGAATTCAGAGCTATAGAGATTATCATAGAAACAGTGATTGTAAGGTATTAGTTCCATTCTTCTTTTCATCCAGATATTTTTGCTGAAGAGTCTTCTTCTGGCTTTAACTTCATTGGGTAAATCTCCCGGAAGATTGAAACGAAACCATCTCACAACATTTGACTTTTCATACAGCCTAAGAACCTTAGTTACATTCTCATGAACATTGAAAACATAAACATAAAACATACTTGCACCAAGAATTCTAGAGAGTTCAAAAAAAGCTATAAGCCTCTCACTAATGTCTTCATCAAAGTCCAAACCCTTGATACACAATGTAAATTCGCTTTCACGTGTCACATTTTCTACTTGTTTGACAATTAAACTATGACTAGTATTCTGATAGCAGGCAGTGAGACCGACGAATACTCGAGAAGGACGAGTTCCTGAGTCTGGCAGTGGACAAGTGATGAGGATACCCGTATAGCCTGTTGATGTGCCACCCCACTCATCCAACCAGATGTCTGATACCAGAGCTTCCATGCTGAAGGAACGCATTCCCTCGTGATCCTCTTGCCTGTAAAACAAGTAACAAGTCGTATGTAATTCTAGTCGAACAAGCTTTACTCAAGATGTTTTCCTTTGCCGCGTGTCAACCAGCAAGGATTGTTACAAAAAATAGATGAAATAGGAAATAAAGAATGATAGAAAGTGATGACAAGTAATGCAACTCTTTTGGAGTTAATTTGACAGATTCTTGTTTCGTTAGTTGACATATACTACGAGAAAGTAAAATAAGATTCTCAAGTGAAGTAAACGAAGGAATACACGTTAATGATGTACAGGCCTTCTCCTTCCGCCTTACACTTCAGTTATTTCCGAAAGACCCGTTATAAGACCAGGCAGTTGACAGGTCGATAGAATTACTTCTCTCTAGAGTAAATTATGGATACTTTCTTTATTTTTTCTTATCTATTTGAATATCTGAACTGTAAAAATATTCTTTTCTGCAATGAAATCTGATCTTACACTGAGAAAAAAATATTATAAATATTACAGTGTTATCTCCGGTAATTGGGACATAAGTGCCAAGTTAATATAAAATTTTAAAATACAATAAATACGTTTCACTTTAGTATTCTTTTATTATCCATTTAGGAATTCTCGAGAAAAGTTTTAACAATTGTTCTTGAATAGCGCAGTTAATGTTTTATTGCACAGTAAAATTTCCTATTGATTGAAGAAAGATTTACTGTTCTATTTTAAAATTCTACTAATGTGGAGTGAAATTTTTACGGCATTACAAAATAAATTTTTCTATGCACGAAATCGATTTTCCTCAAATTTGTTTATTGAATGAATCAAATTACTACATACGATGCCTTTTATTACAGAATTTTTTAACGAAGAGTTTGTAACTATCAAATTCTTTCTATTTTCATACTTAATTTAATAACATAATATATTGAATATTTATTTATTAATGTACTTATGTTAATTATTCTTTATTAAGAAATAATTTCAATAAAGAGACAAGATGGACTTTGTTAATAGTTCAAGTACCGAAATTTAATGACCTTCAACGCAGTTTTTTTTGTTGAAGCCATGAGATTCTCATATCAATACACGGTTCGATAAAGAAAATTCTTTTGAATCATATGCATACTCTCTATTGCATTTTTAACCTTTAGGCTGCGGGGGTGGTCGATATATGGACTAGCATTCAGGTCAGTGACTCTATCTGAGGTATCCAGTGATATTATGGATACATTTTACATGTTCCCAGAGGTAAATTTGTACTGAAATTTCCCCGCAGCCTAAAGGTTGAAGGAAAAATCAGTGTTTTGACAGTCCTTGACTCATTAGTTACTTCAAAGTCTTCGAACGAGTTAATCTGCTAAAATTTTTCCAATTGCAAATCGTTATTATGAGAGGCAATGTTTATTATTCAGTGTTTTTGTGGTGAAAAGATTTTTATACTAAGTTTTATATCGTTTATCGTGTTATTAGAAGAATTACTAAAGGCTTCAATTCCAGTATAATACAAAAAATTATTGTAGAAAATAAATTTAAATTTTACCTTGCAGTAAAAAAACTGTTAGATATATTTTTAGATGAACATATTGAGTGTTTCTTTTTAGTTCTGAAGGAAAAATATTCATTTTATGTATTAGATAGTAATGTAGTATTTAATTTCCATCACATAAATACCGTTGAATTGTTTAATAAAAAAAAATTAATAATTAAAATATCACAATTGAGATGTTTTTAATGCATTTTTTTAAAAAAAAGGCAATATGAAAGAGGACAAATGGCGCTGAAAATTTATTTAATTCTATTTGCCACTCTAATTTTTCATATACTCAATTGAAAAATTTTTTTCTTCAACTATTTATTCAGAAAAAAAAAATACAATTGCGAACATATTACGATACAAAACATAATTTTTTTTTATTATGTTAAAAGTAAATTTTTTCTGATGATAACATAAATTTCTAGAAACTAAAAGCTGATAATCAAATTCCTGATAAAGAAATCCATTTTTTTATTTTTCTAATTAAATTTTTATTAGCAAAAAAGTTAAACCTCTAGTGAAAATTTCATTAATTGCCTTTAAATATCATGATTCATGTAATTAAATAGAAAACTGAAAAAAATTGTACAAATATTGTTTGTTAATTTTTTAATAAAAAACAATGGAATTAATCAAATTCTAGGCAAGATAAATTAAGGAAGATACAGTGAATCTCATGTGTATTTAGCATTTTAGAACCTTTCGAATATTATTAAGTGTTAATGTCAGAGCAGTAATCCTTTAATTTTCAATCCAAAGATGGAATAATAAAAATGAACGTGCATTCTGGTTAACCATATACTCCTTATTTCAAAACTGAAATTAAAATTCTGATCCGTATCTTTAAAAAAGTTAAGATAAGACAAAGTTATGAGGCAAGACAGTGTAAGATCGTTAAAAAAATCCCTATTAATACTTTAGAAACGTGTTTGTAGAACTACATGTTTTAAGACTCATATTTGCAGTTTCTGATATTTGAATGTTTACGGTTGTTTATAATGTCTTATCACATTTTCTTTATAAACTTATAGACAATTATCATATAATCTGTAAGTAGCAGATTTAAAAATAATTCTCATGACTTTATATACAGAAAATTACTAATTTTTTCAGAAATTCATTGAATTTTTTGATACATCGATGGTTTTCTGATGTAACCGCATGTCTCGAAAATGACCACTTTACAGAAAATAGGAAAAACTGAATAATTTATTTATCCTTTTTGTTAAAAAACAAACATTTCATATAATTAAATACAAGTAAATTTCCAAGTGATTTATACAATAAATTGAAAAATTTATAAAAATTCACTTACGCGGTTGCGTCAGAAAGCCATCAATTAATATCTTATAAATATCACAGGCACTAAAACTCCTTTGAAAGAGTTGATATGAGTAAAACTTTTATTGAGATGTGACTGGTGTGAAAATATTGTGATTAAAATGTTAACATTTTTGAATCTTCATGCACTTATTGCTGTTTTTATCAGTTATCAGTCTCAAGATTAAGAATATTATTGAAAAAAATTTAGCAAAAAGTGATGCAATTAATCATGGATTTTCAATTAATAAAATTAATCATTGATTGAAATATTAGGAACTATAATCTAAATATTTTCGCTTTCTTTAAAAGGATCAAGGTATATATAGTTCAAGATCGATATATCATTCTGTTCAACTGATGGAGATAAAATAATTTTATAATTTAAAAATTAATTATGAAAGACTAGATTTAATTAGAATTGTTTTGATCTGAAATTCAACATATGAATAAATTATTTGCTTTAATCAGTTGTGAATTATTATTAAATTTGATTTTATTTATTTAGATCAAGACTTATGTACAATCTCATCATACGGAATCCTTTTTTTAAAGATTGCATTTACCATTAGACTAATTTTGTCTAACATTTATTAACAAAAAAAAATAAATTCACTAATGACAAAAAATATTTTATACCCATTTAAACATCTTGGAAGTTTAAAAACTAATAAAAATAAGTTAAAATTCTATCAAAATGAAATTTAAGAACCTTGCTAACAAACTTTCTAGTCCAAAATACTTTACGATAAACAAACTTAGCACCTGGTACACCACTTCAAGTAATATTAGAGACGTGCACTTAGCAGAACAGTGTAAACGACTTTTAAACTGATTAGATTCTCAGATACCAACTGTGGGGCAAGTATTCCATAGAGAGCAAGTGTTTTAACATTTTCCTATTAGCACATAAAAAAAAATGAAATAGCTTGGTGAAATAAACGAGATAGAATAAGCGTTAATGATGTACATGATTTCTTCCATCTTACACCTCAGTCATTTCCGAAAAATCCGTTACGTGCTTAGACACTTGACAGGCTGATGCAATTACTTCCCTCTAGAGAAAGTATTATACAGAAAGGAATTGAATGCTTGAATACGTAGTAGACCACCGTAGTTGTATCTGATTTACTATTAGCACAATTGTTGACAATGGTGGAACAATAATCTCAGGTTATTAAATTGTCATTTGGGTCAGGTGAAAAGCCAATTATCGCAGACTGCAATCTACGCACAAGACAGAACAATAAAGTATTTTTTGTCTCTTAACTTGTATTTTATTCCCTATGCCTTCGAGCGGACAAACTGCAAATGCCTCATTACCTCTATTTTTTAGATATATACATTGAAATGGTTGAGTGATCTTATATCCTGTCACCCTATGTGATTGTTAGCATCATATATTTTCTCTTTTATTTCTTGGTTTTATGTTAATTAGACTCTCCACCATCGGATCAATGTATTAAATCCAATTATTTACCAAATAGTGCAGAAGAGAACTCCAGACACTGCCGGCTCTCGTTTAACGCCAATCACTCGGACGCTTGGATACCTAACTACTCTAATATCCAAGTGGCTAGAGTAGAGAAATAAACGGCCGGGAATAGTTTCCAGCCACGTTTTCTCCACTTGGTTCGATGTGTTTGTCAACGATGGACTTGATACTGTCTCGTTCGTTGAACATTCTCGTGACGGCCGATAATCCAGCGCCAATCTTCGCGCCCATGAATATGCCACAATACTCCGAGTACCTGGAGGCTCACTTCCTGCTAAACGAAAGAAAAGAGATTATCATTTTTATCCGGTACTAGATGCTTACTTTTCTTTTATATCATTTAAAGTTACCAATAGTTTTAAAAGCTTGGAATTCAATTCTAAAATGAAAATTAGATTTTTATCAACAAAAATTCGTTTTTTTTCTTGCTAAGGAAATGTAATAACAAAAATTTGTTTTTATTCGTTTTATTGAGTTTTATATTTTATCTTATTATTTGAGTATTTTTAAAAAAATATGAATATTGTAGAGATAGTTCGACAACATACAATTTTCAAATTTTGAGTGGCTGAAAAAGTAAAATTTTTATAAATATGATTATGATTAGTTTATCATAATTTTTAAAGTAATACATTCTGTATATAACAAACATTCAGTGAATATCAGCACATCAATTCAAGATTTTAAATTATTTTATTCATACATGTATTATATAATTATAATATTGTTTGGTTTCATAATCACACAAATTTAGTTTATTAATAAAAATTTTTTTGATTAATATCTAATTGAATTTATCAAAAAAAAATTGAGATAGAATTAAGTTTTTTATGAATATACATGAAAACATTGATGCTTGTAGTCAAGTGAATGAACATCTGCACACTTGATACAAATTTCTCCCATCAATATCCCGATACAGATTTAACTCTTTCAATTCCCAAATAGAATCTCGAATATTTTTCAAACTGACATAAACCCATACATCTTATTTTGACTTTTGCAAAAGACACATAATTGTATCGTGATTTACATTAGAAAGTGATCATACTTCTATATCAAAGTATATTGACTTTCAACTGATAAACAGAAACCTCTGATTCATTCTCAAGATATCATCAACCAAAATAATGAATATTCTTACTATCAGAATAACTCTTCTTTCCATAACTTTATGTCAATGAAACAATTAAATTAATCATGGAATATTTAATTGAAACATTTTGTAAAAGTGTTAAAATGCTTTTTATAAATAAGATTAATTGAATAATATTTCAGTTACTTGAAAAAAGTATGAAAAAATATATAATCAGGAAGTTCTACGTTTACTCCAAGAGGTCAGACGACTCACATTTTCTCTATTTTTCTATTGGAAAATAGTGGTTTCTAATACTCTACGTTTATTGCAAGAAGTTTAAAGAATTATGATTTTTCTAATACAAGTCGACAGGAACAGTTATGGCACACTAGAAGAAACCAATCTGCCTAGACATTGAACAGGTGACTATCTAGAAATCATAAATTATCCTCGACTAACGAAGCTGCTAACCCCGAGTATAGGGCAACGTGAGATTTATGTTGTGGCGAAAAAGTGCGATCCTCTGATTATTTACGACGTTTTTACATCCCAATAGAATTCTTCGTCTTTAGAGATAGACAGGTAATGAATTTACCAAGCTTCTAGTTTCTTTATTACAAATACGCTCTCTTCTTTGGAAATTATAAATCTGTACGTGAGTATCTTACAATGCAGAAACTAGCATAAAATTTGCTCTAATTCTCTTGAACTACAGACAATTATTCATTGGATATTTCTAACGTATATTGAAAATGAAAGCTTCTCGTAAATTACGTAAATCTGTCTTGTTAAACAGGTTCTTTCAGAATATATCTATTTAATTATAGAACAATTTATCTAATAGGATTAACTTTGAATTTATAAATAGATGTTGAAAGAATTAAAAATTATTTTTTATTATGGACAAAAATTTTTTTGCTTTTATACTAAGGAATTTTTTAATAAGGATTATTACAACTGTATAAAATAATCATCTGAAGTAGTATCGTTTGGTAGAAGAATTTTAACCATCACAAATTTTTTTGTTTCATGATTTTATTGGCTTTCATATAATAAGATATTTATTACTCAGCTTTGTGTAATAGATAAAAAAAACTTCTCTCGTTAAATTCATGGCAATATTTTTGTCAAAAGTTATTTAATCATTAACTAAAGAAGAAAACAACGTGGTTTTAGAAATAATTTTTCAATTTTAATAATAATTTTTACATCAATAACAAAATATAAAAACCATTCCTTGACCATAAAAACCTTATTTGTTTTTAAAATAAACTATTTTATTTAATGACTAAAATTTACATAAAGTAAAAAAATACACAAGAAATATTTAAATCTATAAGTTGCATTAACGATAAAAAAAACTTATGTATTATCACTACAAATCCAAGTATTTTAAAACTAAATACTTAAAGTATTTACAATGTTAAATCTATGCCAAAATACTATAGTTTGTTTATGGTGTTCAACATTGTAAACACTTAAGTGTTTTATTACTAAACACTTGAACTCTTTTAGATTTGCAAGGTTGATTGCATAAAATAATCTTTTGTAGATGAAAGTCTTTTTTAATTCAACCAGAAGAATGAAAAAGCATAGAGGTGAACAAGGTAAAGAATCATGTTTGGAAATTTGAAACTTTAAAACCTTCAAACGGGTGGTTTCGTTTCGAAGCTGTTCTGACATATTTTATGATTTAGCATGAAATTTATAACATTTTATTAACAATGTCTGAATTTGTTCCTCTAATAATCTTCCTTTTTTTCGTCATTTTTTCTCTTTTGTTAAAATTTTTTTATCTAATATAACAGTGTCCAATTAATATTTAAATTAACAATATTCATTTCTTGACTGAATAAAGTAAAATTGAATAAAAAAATTAAAAGAAGACTTATGATTTCACTTCATTAAAAATAATGAAAAGTAATTTACTTTCAGGAAAAATCTCTTTGCAATTATTTCTATTTACATACTACTTATGCAAATTGATATATCGTTTTTAAAATCAATATTTGCATGAGAATTCACTAGTGTTAATTATGCATACAAACAAATATACTAAAAAAATTCAATACTTATTGACTCAGATAAATTTTCATTTATTTTAAATCAAATTATTGAATCTTTATTAAATAAAATAGATCGATAAATTTTTTTTTTAAATAATTCCAATTAAGTATCCTATTAAATCAAAGAATAATTGATTGCTTGAATTTTTAATTTTATTATTTGACAGTGAATTATTTTGATGTAATCAAAGTTAAGAAGAACATTTTTAAATTATAAACATCTTTTTATAGATCTAATACAACAATTAATTGCGATTATATTCTGAAATATTTTATTGATATCAACGGTTATTTTGATATATACATGTCAACTAAAAGTAAGCGAGTACGTGTTTGTTATTCTATACTTTACCTGTTGTAGGAGCTAAATCCGTCGGCAGTTCTGGAAGCTGAAGAGGCATATCAACAAGAGTGAGTACGCAAAGAGCGGTTACAAGGGCTGCTGCAAGTCCTACCCTGCATAATCTCCTCATACCAGTAACTAACATACTATTATCGTCTCAGTCCTGATGCTTCTTCCAGTGTAATGTCCAACACATAAAAATGACCACGAATCCTTACCCACTTCCAGCAGTGTCTTGCAAACGTCCGAGTTGTGTACATGCGCTCTTCAAGTAATAAACACTGACAATAAAGTAATAATAATAACATACAAGAGAATTCTTACTTGCTTAATGGACACATTTTTATTCAATATTATCTACTAAATTCATAATTCTCAAACTGACTGTGACTGCTCGTTATTATTCTCAAGGCGACCGTGCTCTAGAGCAGAAAGATGAGAAATGGCTTTCCTAGCATAGGAGGTTCTTAGCATAAAAGCAATAACAAGTACTCAAGACCCACGCTCTAAGACCTTATTGAGACTTAGGGAGTGTCTATCTATGCAAATAAGAATCACCACCAACACATTGCTGATTATTTTTATATCTCGGTGTTACGCGTCTTTGACGTAAAACCGACCTCGTATTACCAAACAGCACATGCGTCCTACACGATTTCACTGACCTATAGATTATATACGCATTCGCTTGCCAACCAGAACCATTTATGGCTATGATGATTCGACACATACACAGTTGGGGTTTTTTGCACAGACCACAAGTAATTTTCATTTCCATTAGCACACATGTAATTGGCAGAAATAAAATTCATTATCATAATTATTTTTCTTTTCTTCCCAGATGTAATGATTGATCAAATAAAAATCATTATTAACATTCATCACATTTTTCACCAAAGTATAATTAATTACTAGATCAAAAAAAAATTTATCAAGTCGCCAAACTTGTTGATGACAACGCCAAATAAGGTTGATAATAAAAAGTGTAGCTATAGTTGATACTTGGTTTGGGTATTGATATTAATGATATAAAGCACGTGGTAACCACTGTGAATGTCAGAATTGATGTAATCCTGCTTGCGCGAGAGACGAAAGCGTACTGCGCCACAGAAACTAGGCGGTTAACACGCGACCAAGAGTCTCTTTCTCTCCAGCTGAAGTTTGCCCTGGTAACTTTATATCTCTCCCTCTCTCTTTCTCACTCTTAGTTGTGCCTCTATAGCCAACAGACTGGTGCTTTGGCATTGCTTGTTGCAATTGCTTCTCTTCTCGCATAGCGAATCTCTCACCAAGGCATATTTCTATCACCCTCATCTTACTTACTCATACAATGCTCACCCATCACATTCCATCATCCACATCCCTTTCTTACTCTTTAAATCGAGACACTCGTTAATTGGCTCATATATACCTTGTACAGTATAGGTATATTAATACATAGGTAAAATGAAATAGAGTGACTTGGTATAAATCGAGATAATTGATTCGAGTTCATTCCATATTATCTAAATATAGATGTAATAACTTTCTCAACAAGAAACCAATGCGTCGAATCAATTGGATCAAGACTGTCTTGTTGTTCAGATCGACAGATTTTATATGCAAATGCGAGGTCTTTTTCAAGACTACACACTTAAACGACCAACGGTCAGTACACATTTATACCCACAGGCGATTGAATAATGCGAGCACTTTCCATTACGCACCATATTCCCAGGCACCGACACATGCTTAGGGGTTACGATTAAAGTACGATGACCTTGAGCACTAGTTACTTACAAACTTTGCGAGCAGCACCGGTGTGCATAAGTGCATAGACCACCGTAGGAATCTCGTGAGAACCTGACGAGTTAGGTATAATTGTCGACACTCCTATAGCCCTTTTTTTATGGATTATTCAGTAATATTCTCTATCTTTTAATAGGCCACCTATACTTTTGATGATGAATAATAAGAGATAAATAATCTGATAATTATGTATAAAGATGGATATATATGCGAGGGGGAACTATATTAAAATAACCAAGCTATATGAATATACCTTTTTAGCTGATTTTTTTCATAGTACCAAGCTGCAGTCATTAACTTTTACGAGTCTATAAAAGGAATAGCGACATTAACCCAGCAGCAACAATGCTACTAAGCAATGCATTATTGGTGTAGTTGACTTTTTCTTACATACTTTTTACTTATATTCCATGCGTAAATACTCTCTCCTATATTCAGCTTTTTAAAAATCAGAAAAATCAAGCCAAGATTTACTCATAAAAAGATGCTCATTTGAGGACATGCAGTTAATAGTTTGGTGCTTGTGCATGTTTTTTATGACACAACATGAAATTACGTAATTATGGAGAATTCATAGTATCGTGTTTAGCACCCAAGTAGTGTGCATGATACACCAAACGATGTTTTGACTCACGCAGCTTAGCTTGCTACAGTAGCTGAACAAGTTGTGAGTCTTTTGACCCTCGGAAGTAACTCTGATAACTTGTTGTCTTGGATTCTTTTTACTTTATCTCATAAATTGAAATTGTTGAACGGATATTAGGTCTTATACTTTATAATGGCTGGTATTTATTTTATTTTTGAAAGTGTTGAATGATTGAAGAATAAAGCCAACAAGAGTCTTTTGAACACAGTTGGTTTTTTATCCTTTTAATTAATTTCTCGATGATTATGTGATAAGAATGATTTAATGGAATTTAAGTCAAGTATTATTTTTAATTGTGAGATTATAATAAAATACTAAGGGAAAGATAAATGTAATAATTGGGGTTAAATTTATTATTACATTATTTCCAAGTTATTGATATGAATGATGAAAAGTTATTCTTCGTAGAAATTAACTCATTTTGTACTCGGTTATGATTCAATCAAAACTTACATTACACTCAATTTCATTATACTGTGTCTGCAGTGAATTTTCAATGAGCAAAAGAATATTTCCATCGGAGCTATTAATTATGTCTTAGCATAATTTTATCAGTTGAAGTTTTCCTAAATCAGTGAAGATTTTTTATTAATAAATTTTTAAATCTTATGATGAAAAAGAAACAAATGAGACGAAATTTTTCAATAGATATGCTAAATAAACAACAATGTTTTGAAAAAATAGATAAAAGCAGTGATTGATGATAATGTTCAGAACCTACTAGACCAGTATGATAAAAAATATCTATCATTAAGATCCAATAACAAAAATAACTTTTGGTGAGATTTACTCGATGTAAAAATGTGTTGATCGTTAAAAATACCAATAAAAAAAGTGTTTGGATATTGAGGAAAAGAATTTGGGTTTGATTCCCAGTTGGGTGTATATGTTTTTCTGGCCTTGTTTGGTCCTAAGCGTTCCACATATTTCTTCGTTACGGTTGGTGATTTAAAAAGATTCTAGTCGAGTATAGTGTAGGAGTTCGGACAGCACCGGTGATTAATAACTAAATGATTAGATATATTTCAATATTAAATTAATAATGGTTTTTTAAATTAACCTTTTCATTTGTATTTTGAAAATATTATATCAATACTAAGTCGTAAAGATTTCAAATGAGGTAAATTTATTATGTATACTGTATAATTATTTTATTTATTGTTAATTACTGTCAACTACATATTATAGAGTTATATTTTTGATTATTTACTTTGAGAATTAATTAAATAAACTGGATACTATGAGTAATTTTTCAACTGTAACTATTTCAAATCGTCATCTTTTAGCGTAATACTTTGCTTTGTTTACCTTCGCTATTATTAGTATTTTTTTTATGTAAAAAATCTCAGTTTGTATGTTTTTTTTTATTGTTTTTGCCCATCACTAAAAACAGAGATATAATTTTCAAAATAAAATATGATTAGCAACCTCCTTAATATTGCTTAGTACAACACCATAATTTTTTCTTAGTCTTCCTGTGATTTTTCATTAATTATTCGCAGAAATTATTTTTCTTTAATTTCAACTTCCAGTATCCTGGGAAGTTTACCAAAGATTATTATTATATTTCATTCGTGAGGAAGAAAAATTCTTGCATGCACATTGTAAAGAAAAAGCTGATGAAACTAAGTAAGTAACAATTTACATCTGAAAAAATAACATTTACATAATAGTTTAATTACATACATGGATAACTGATAATACTTAATTAAACCTTTCAATCTTTGGAATGATTCTCTTATTAATCCTTACAAAAATGCAAATAAATAACTGATTGTTAAAATATTTGCACGCTTGACAATTATTGTAAATAATTATTTTTTCCTCTTCATCCAAACGTCCACACCCACTTGTTTGATCCACACCTTTTTCTTCTTGGATCTCTTTTGTCCTATATCCATTCAGATTTGTCAAGAAAAAGCCTCGATGAAATGAAAAACATAATCCAACTTAGCAAAGCTTACGTGTGAGAGTCAACAGTCCATAGAGCGTGTTGTGATGGCCGTACAGAGAATGGGTGTTGCAAATGCGCACAGTACTTATAAGAACGCCCTGCCTTGCACGTTGGACGATGCACATGAATTTTTTCTATTCCCTAAGAGACGAGATATCTTGTTGTAGTATCACCAGTTAGCGAAGAATAAGAAGAGCGAGTAAAGAAGAAAGAAGGTGGTCCCTACGTAACCGCTACATGGTTTTCCGTGTAGACCTTTATGCACGACCTTACCCATTACGTATTCCCTCCAAGTACCCAATAAACAAAATTATATCAGAGCTTATGCATATAACAGTTCTACATTTTTTATATATCACTCTAGACTGTGTATATCTTAGCACGATAAATTACACCACATGATTGACATTATAAATATATAACAGAGATGATCATTACTATAATTTTCAGATGATCTAGATTGCTTACCAGAGATTGGATTGGCAAGCTAAAAGCTGTAATTCCTTGATGGCGAGTTTAACACGAGACAGCCTCAAGCAACAGCCCACTGACATTGGCGTATTTGCGCACAACGACATAAACATGAGGGCTATAAGGAAGATTGAATGAGCAACAATAATTCCTCATTCTCCGTCTGCCATGTCCTGACCTACACCACGGTCAGGGGGCATCGTCCTCCTCATCCCGGTAAGTGGAGAGAATGGACCGAGAGTATACACAGCATAAGATTCCTTGTTGGATCCCAAGTGTAGCCCTACACTCACCACTACCACCAAAATCACCTACACAGGCGCCATGGATACACAAAGCAGAATTTATATTCTTAATATATCTCCAATTTAGCAAAAAAAAAAAATCCTTGAATGAATATTTTAATGAATAATTCAACAAAAACTTGTAAAATGCGATAAGTCATTTTTATCAAATGTATTTATATACATAGAGCCCAGGAATCATGGATAAAACATCTAATACTAATTGATTAACGAATTGCTTTTTTATAGTGAGCATATGTTGTGTATGTTGTTGAATAAGAAAATAATCTACAGAACGAGCATCAGGACTTGAACTAAGAGCCCCTTGCTGCGACATGATATCTCGTCATCTTTAATTGCCGTATCGATCATCGGTAGAAAAGGAAGATATAGAAAGTAAAAATAAATGCGCGTAACTCCAACAGCGCGGTACATCGATCAATTAGCGAAAGAACGTACGCGTCTCTCTGTTACGCGTATTCCACTAGGGAGTACTGTATAAATAATACTTGTACATTAGCTATAATTAGAATCTCAGAGTATTTTTGTCTTTTAGCTTTATAAAATAATCTATGAATAATTATCTTGTAGATGAACATTGAAAAAAGTGTTAATTTAAGTAGACAGAATGGACTCACAATTGGCTACTGTAATTGAATGATCATTGAGGTGATTTTGTTTTGATTATCGAAAAGTATTTTCATTATCGCAAGGACGAAGAACGTCAGAAGTTGAGATTTAGTATCAGAAAATTCAATTATATCAGTAAAAAATGAAACTCATTTTTTATTTTTGATTATTTTTCCGTTGGAAGCAATTAGATTCAGACTGTGATCGACCTTTATGTTTGTTCAGTTTGTCAAAGAAAAAATTCTTTGATTTATTTTAATGTCATAATAAATTGTGGACATATTTAATAAATCATGGTGTAATTAAAATACATAAAAAAAG